CCTTCTCGTGCCTATTTCACTTCTCTTCCCGTACCTGTCATTTACCGTACCTTTTTCCCAATTGTTACGCTTTGACCACTTGTCCAGTCCACGTGTCACGCCACGTCATCTTCAATATAAATTCAACTTTTTTCCCAATACAGGAATCTTTATCGTAAGATGTTCGGTGGTCCATTAGCAAGATGCCTCGGACCTTCTCAAACGGAGTATGTAATGAGGGAAATACATGAGGGGCATTACGGGAGTCACGCAGGAGGAAGATCACTGGTAAGAACCTTGATTAGAGCAGGATACTACTGGCCTAAAATGGAGGAAGAAGCGGAAAGTTTCGTAGCTAAATGTGATAAATGTCATAGGTACGGTAACAACATGCATAGACCTGCGGAGTTTTTACATGCGGTCATATCACCATGGCCATTCATGAAGTGGGGAATGGATATCGTGGGTCCATTACCACAAGCAAAAGGACAGGTAAAATTTTTGCTCGTACTTACTGATTATTTCACTAAATGGGTAGAGGCAGGAGCATTTAAACAGGTACGAGAAAAGGAGGTCAAAGACTTCATTTGGCGTAATATTATCTGCCGATTTGGTGTACCAAAGGAGATTGTATGCGACAATGGCCCTCAATTTATCAGAGCTCAAGTCACTGAGTTTTTTGAGAGCTGGCAAATTAATAGAATCACATCTACACCTTATCACCCAGTAGGCAATGGGCAAGCAGAATCAACGAACAAAGTCATTATCAACAATTTGAAGAAACGTTTAGAGGAATCAAAGGGTAATTGGCCTGAAGTTTTACCAGAGTTTTATGGGCATATCGCACGACAACAAAGACGAGCACAGGTGAAACTCCTTTCTCTTTAGTTTATGGAGCTGAAGCATTAATCCCAATTGAAATAGGAGAACCGAGTACAAGATTCTCGCAAGCAACACAAGAGTCTAATGATGAAGAGATGCGGGTCAATTTGGATCTACTGGAAGGCAAGAGATAAGCCACATTAATAAGAATGGCAGCACAAAAGAAGGTGATCGAACGATATTACAACAGGAAAGCACGACTGCGATACTTCAAAACTGGGGACTTCGTGCTTAAAAAAGTTTTTCAATCTACAAAGGCGGCCAACGCGGGTAAACTAAGTCCAACCTGGGAAGGACCCTACAGAGTTCCAGATATTGCAGGAAAAGGAGCATACGAGTTGGAAACAATGGACGGGAAGGTGCTTCCTTCGCATTAGAATGCAATTCATTTGAAGTGATATTACTTCTAAGGAAAAACCCACGGTCAGGTATCACCATGTTAAATTATATTTGTTTTTGAATTGTTAAAATTTTACTAATGATTTTAGATGATAGGCAAAACTCTAACCCATACTAAATGATGAGTCACGATCTGTAAGGCAAAATGGAATAAACTAAAATTCCTGGCCCAGGGTTACAATTATTTTGATAGAAATTTAAACGGGTTAAGCAGTCTTCATCTATAATCGTACCTCCGAGTCCCGTATGTATTTCCTTTTCAGGAAAAGGACCGAATGAGGGAAACTATCAAGTGCTCGAGGCTTCATACTTCAACACTCAAACACTTGGGGGACTACATAATATACACAAGTATATATAAAGAGGGCAGAGAAGATTGAAGAAAAATCAAGCCTGGGAAAAAGTCAAGTGCAGAGTAATGAAAGAGTAATGAAGTCATGAGCCAAGGCTAAAGAAATCCTTACTGTAATTAGGGTAAAAGCTGTGTACTAAAGCAGGTTGTAAAAAAAAACCTTGCATTTATTGTTCTAAAACGGGTTATAAAGAAAAACCTCGTGTTTATTATTTTTTCTTAAAAAATCTGTTACAAGAAAAAACAGTTACGAGAAAGTTATAGATGTAATTCAAGCATATGTAAAGTATTATTCAAAACTTGTCAAAGTTCAGAAATAAAAATTTCTCGAAGTTGTTGCAAAAAACATGTGTATTCCTATTTCTTTTATCGTATGATCACACCATTATGAAGTTGAGACGTCTTCTTCATTAAGTGTCAAAATATAAAAGGGCCCTCTTTTATAAAACTAGTGTTATTTAGTCATGAGGTTAATGAAAGCATTTTCAAAGAATAAACATGCAGACTATTCTTTAAGTCCTTGAAAATAAAAGGCACGAATAGAACAGATGGAAGTTTAAAGACAAACTTCTTAACATTTTAAAACTAAAAGACTAAGTATAAACTTAGTCATCGAACTATTCATACAAAAAATGCCCCTTAAACAAGACTTGGGGACTTGAACTTTTAAAATCAAACCTTAACTGATAAGCAAGGGTTTGATTACAAAAAAAAACTATCACAAGAAACCAAAAACTTTAAACATAGTTTTCCGGATGGGTACCTGCAAAAAAAAAGGAATTTAAAGCAAATATAAGTCTTTTCGCTAAGAAGAAAGAACTGAGGAAGGATCATCAGCGGGCTCAATTGGAGCAACATCGACAGACGAGATCTCAGCTTGGCTTGCAGCAAGTGGCACAGTTGAGCTTGAAGAAGGTACAACATCCGAAGCAATTGCAGCATTCACAGAGGCTTCAGCGGCGGGAGTTTCAACCAAGGGAACTTCAACATCGGGAGATGAAAAATCTTGTGTTTGTTAAGTTCGTGCGATTGTTTCATTCACCTTGGCTAATTCTGATTCAAGGTTGAAGTCCTCTTGACCCATTTCTAGTAAGGTGTACGACGAGAATTTAGGAAGGCCCAACTCACCTCAACATCAGTTTTTTCCTCAAGGATTTCATAATCCCTTTCCCAAGGAGCGACCTCATTCTTGAGTCCTTCATTCTCAGCTAATACAGAATTATAAGAAGATTGAAGGGCGGCATGAGAATTCTCCAAAGCATGCATACTATCTACAGAGTGTAAGGCCCCGAAAATTTTCGCTAAGTAATTTAAGATTTCGTGGTGTCACATAGGCTTATTATAATATTTTTATGTGCTATTAACATGGTGTACATCCATTGGATTTGGTAAATATGTGTATAAGTCTTACGGTAAGTAATTTGGGATCCAAGGAAAGGCCTAAGTCTAAGAAAAATTGGAAAAAGTCCATAATAGGCTAAAATTCCCAACGATCTTGCACTAGTCCCTACTTTGAACGAGCATATCCAAATATCTATAAGGTTCTAGGTGATGGATAACCTATCAAATGAAAGATCTTCGAGTCTAGTTTCCAACGCTTCAAACCGTTCGTCATTTGGACCTTCCTACACAAAGTTATGATCAAATTACCAAAAGCTGGAAAAATGCGATTTTGCGTGAAATCTGCGATCGCAGATTCAACTCTGCGGACCGCATAACCATTCTGCGGTCGCAGAATGGTCGCAGATTGAGACAGAACAGCCCAGTTTTGGGCAGCGAGTTCTGCGACGAAACTGCAGCCCGCATACCCATTCTGCGGTGGATTCTGCTATAGCAGACTTGACATCCGAGGGTTAATTTTCTAATTTTATAACCCGACCCCATTTTAATATATAGGCTTTAGAGTTCATTTTGGGGTCATTTTCTACTGATTTTAGAGAGAGGTGAGAGCATTTTAGAGAGAGAAGGAGGAACCCAACATTTAAATCATCCAAACCTTGCATCAATCTTCAAGAATCAAAGAACCCAGTCACAAGTTCTTCATCTAAGAGGTAAGAGTCTATACCCTAGGTTTTTAATTTCGAGTTTGGAGTATAAGATGGGGTATTGAGGTATGATTATTGGGTGTAATGCTATTATGTATACCTGCATGTACAACTTAGGTTTATGGGAAGATCGTTTAACATAAATAAGTAAAGATTGGGTTAGGGAATGAAGAAAATCTTGAAAAGGGGATTTGAAATCAAGATACTCAACTAGTATTTGATAAAATGCTCAAATGAGCTAGAATTATGAATANAGTGTTGTAACAAAAGAGGAGGCAATACTTACTACATTCGCAGAAGGCGTCGTTAAAGATACCAAATTTCAAGTTGTAGATATGGAAATGGCTTACAATATGATTCTTGGGAGGCCATGGATTCATGACATGGAAGCTGTTCCTTCAACTTTACATCAAGTTATTAAATTCCCATCTCCATGGGGAATATGCCAAATCAGAGGCGATCAACAAACATCTAGAAGCATCAATTCCGTTGCAGATTCAACTGTTAAAGGTGAAGACAAATAGCAATTACAGAATTTAGGTGAGGGTAAAACGGAGTCAACCTCACCTGAGAAAAGCAAACAGATCTGGATTCAAGACCTGATACCATTCAAGAACCGGAGGAGAATGAGAATATCAAAATAATGATAGAAGAGCTAGAGGCCGTGGCGTTATTTATACATTGGCCCTAGAGAAAAGTGTACATAGGAGCTAATCTTAGCCCGGAGGTAAAACATAAATTGATTGAATTTTTAAAAGCTAATGCATACTATTTTGCTTGGTCCCGTTCTGACATGACAGGGATACCACCGGAAGTCATGACTCATGAGTTGAATGAAGATCCATCATATCCTCCCGTCAAGCAAAAGAAAAGAAAGCAAGGAACTTTCAAAATAAAGGTGATTCAAGAGGAAGTTCAAAAGTTGCTAAAAATTGGTTCAATTCGTGAGGTAAAATATCCTAACTGGTTAGCTAATACTGTTGTGGTTCCTAAGAAGAACGATAAGTGGCGAGTCTGTGTAGATTACACAGACCTTAATAAAGTCTGTCCAAAAGATTCCTTTCCTTTACCGCACATAGATCAGTTAATTGATGCTACTGCAGGGCATGAGTTATTAAGTTTTTTAGATGCATATTCAGCCTATAATCAAATCAAGATGGATCCAGGAGATGAAGAAAAAACTTCTTTTATAACAGACAGGGGGACTTACTGTTACAAGGTAATGCCCTTCGGTCTTAAGAATGCAGGTGCAACGTATCAAAGGTTGGTCACCCGAATGTTTCAAGAAAATTTAGGTAAAACCATGGAAGTATATATAGATGATATGCTAGTTAAGACTCAACATTCAAAAGATCATATATCACACCTATCTGATACGTTTAAAATTTTACGAAAATATAATATGAAGTTGAATCCAGAAAAATGTGCGTTTGGTGTGGCATCAGGAAAGTTTTTAGGTTTTCTTGTTTCTAACTGTGGTATTGAAGTGAATCCTGCACAGATTAAGGCCATTGAAGAAATTCCTGATATACTTTCCAACAAGAAAGAGGTTCAAAGACTAACAGGAAGAATCGCAGCTTTGGGACGGTTCATTTCTAAATCATCGGAAAAATGTTTTAAATTCTTCTCGGCTCTTAAGAAGCAGGATCATTTTGAATGGGATGAGGAGTGTCAACAAGCAATTAGGGTTTTGAAAATATACTTGTCAAATCCACCTTTGCTAGCAAAACCCAAGGCTGGGGAGAAACTTTTCATCTACCTTGCAGTTTCAGAAGTTGCGGTAAGCGCGGTTTTGGTTCGAGAAGAGCAGGGTAAATAATCTCCTATCTATTATGTTAGTAAATCTTTGTTAGATGCAGAGACACGGTATCCACAATTGGAAAAATTAGCATTTGCTCTAATCATGGCATCTAGGAAGTTAAGACCTTACTTTCAATATCATCCCATTGTTGTAGTGACTGCATACCCCCTACGTAATATATTGCATAAACATGAATTGTCAGGAAGGTTAGCTAAATGGGCCTTAGAGCTAAGTGAATATGAAATCACGTACTTACCTAGAAAAGCAATAAAATCACAGATATTAGCTGATTTCGTCGCTGACTTTAGCCAAGGGATGCAACTAGAAGCAGAAAAAGAAGTACAAGTACTTAATGGGGCTAATCCAGGAACATGGACCTTATTTACTGATGGCTCATCTAACGTAAAAGGTGCAGGATTAGGAATTGTTTTAGTACCACCTACAGGTGAAACTATTAGGCAAGCTATTAAATGTCATTCCGTAACTAACAATGAAGCGGAGTATGAAGCTGTGATTGCAGGTTTAGAATTGGCACGAGAACTTGGTATAAATCAAGTAGTGATCAAAAGTGACTCGCAGCTCGTGGTTAATCAAATGCTGGGGACTTACACAGCTAGGGAAGCAAGGATGCAACAGTACTTGGAAAAGGTACGGGAACTGATAAAGCAATTCCAAACTTGGAAGGTCATACAGATATCGAGGGATGAAAATGTTGAAGCAGATGCCTTAGCTAATCTCGCATCCGCAGCTGATGTAGCAAAAGATGCAAATGCTGCAGTTATACATTTATTTCATTCAGTTCTCGATCCAGATAAGAAGGAGGTAAATTTTAATAATTTAACTTGGGATTGAAAAAACGAAATTGTTGCTTTTTTACAGTATGGTACCGTCCCTAATGACAAGAAGCAAGCGCATGCACTTCGAAAAAAGGCTGCTCGTTACTGTTTAAAACAAGGGAATATTTATCGTAAGATGTTCGGTGGTCCATTAGCAAGATGCCTCGGACCTTCTCAAACGGAGTATGTAATGAGGGAAATACATGAGGGGCATTGTGGGAATCACGCAGGAGGAAGATCACTGGTAAGAACCTTGATTAGAGCAGGATATTACTGGCCTAAAATGGAGGAAGAAGCGGAAAGTTTTGTAGCTAAATGTGATAAATGTCAACGGTACGGTAACAACACGCATAGACCTGCGGGGTTGTTACATCCGGTCATATCACCATGGCTATTCATGAAGTGGGGAATGGATATCGTGGGTCCATTAACACAAGCAAAAGGACAGGTAAAATTTTTGCTCGTACTTATTGATCACTTCACTAAATGTGTAGAGGCAGGAGCATTTAAACAGGTACGAGAAAAGGAGGTCAAAGACTTCATTTGGCGTAATATCATCTGCCGATTTGGTGTACCAAAGGAGATTGTATGCGACAATGGCCCTCAATTTATCGGAGCTCAAGTCACTGAGTTTTTTGAGAGCTGGAAAATTAAGAGAATCACATCTACACCTTATCACCCAGTAGGCAATGGGCAATCAGAATCAATTAACAAAGTCATAATCAACAATTTGAAGAAACGTTTAGAGTAATCAAAGGGTAATTGGCCTGAAGTGTTACCCGGAGTTTTATGGGCATATCGCACGACAACAAAGACGAGCACAGGTGAAACTCCTTTCTCTTTAGTTTATGGAGCTGAAGCATTAATCCCAGTTGAAATAGGAGAACCGAGTACAAGATTCTCACAAGCAACACAAGAGTCTAATGATGAAGAGATGCGGTTCAATTTGGATCTACTGGAAGGCAAGAGAGAAGCCGCATTAATAAGAATGGCAGCACAAAAGCAAGTGATCGAACGATATTACAACAGGAAAGCACGACTGCGATACTTCAAAACTGGGGACTTCGTGCTTAAAAAAGTTTTTCAATCTACAAAGGCGGCCAACGCGGGTAAACTAAGTCCAACCTGGGAAGGACCCTACAGAGTTTGAGATATTGCAGGAAAAGGAGCATACGAGTTGGAAACAATGGACGGGAAGGTGCTTCCTTCGCATTGGAATGCAGTTCATTTGAAGAGATACTACTTCTAAGGAAAAACCCACGGTCAGGTATCACCATGTTAAATTATATTTATTTTTGAATTGTTAAAATTTTACTAACGATTTTAGATGATAGGCAAAACGCTAACCCGTACTAAATGATGAGTCACGACCTGTAAGGCAAAATGGAATAAACTAAAATTCCTGGCCCAGGGTTACAATTATTCTGATAGAAATTTAAACAGGTTAAGCAGTCTTCATCTATAATCGTACCTCCGAGTCCCGTATGTATTTCCTTTTCAGGAAAAGGACCAAATGAGGGAAGCTATCAAGTGCTCGAGGCTTCATACTTCAACACTCAAACACTTGGGGGACTACATAATATACACAAGTATATATAAAGAGGGCAGAGAAGATTGAAGAAAAATCAAGCCTGGGAAAAAGTCAAGTGCAGAGTAATAAAAGTCAAATGAAGTCATGAGCCAAGGCTAAAGAAATCTTTACTGTAATTAGGGTAAAAGCTGTGTACTAAAGCAGGTTGTAAAGAAAAACCTTGCATTTATTGTTCTAAAACGGGTTATAAAGAAAAACCTCGTGTTTATTATTTCTTAAACAAAAAATCTGTTACAAGAAAAAACAGTTACGAGAAAGTTATAGATGTAATTCAAGCCCATGTAAAGTATTATACAAAACTTGTCAAAGTCCAGAAGTAAAAATTTCTCGAAGTTATAAAATTTTTTCGAAGTTATTGCAAAAAACATGTGTGTTCCTATTTCTTTTATCGTATGATCACACCATTATGAAGTTGAGACGTCTTCTTCATTAAGTATCAAAATATAAAAGGGCCCTTTTTTATAAAACTCATGTTATTTAGTCATGGGATTAACAGAAGCATTTTTCAAAGAACAAAAATGCAGACTATTCTTTAAGTCCTTAAAAATAAAAAGGCAAGGATAGAACATACGGAAGTGCAATGATAAATAAAAGTTTCCTAATATTTAAAACTAAAGACTAAAGTATAAACTTAGTCATCTAATTGTTTATACAAAATGCCCCATAACAAGACTTGGGGACTTATACTTCTAAAAATCAACCCTCAAGTAGTAGCTAAGGGCTTGATTACAAAAACTCTCAAATGAACCCAAAAGCTTTAAATACTGTTTTCCAAATAGGTACCTGCAAAAAGGAAATCAAAAATAGATATAAATTTTTTTTACTGAGAGGAAAGGATTGAAGGAGGATCATCAGCGTGCTCAACTGGAACAGCATCACCAACAGAAGTAGGTTGATTTCCAACCATTGGAGTATCAATAGATGAAGTTTCAACTTGACTTGCAATAAGGGGCACGATCGAGCTTGAAGAGGGTGCATCACCCGAGGCAATTCCAGCGGTCATGGGGACTTCAACCGCAGAAGTTTCAGTTAAGGGAACTTCACTCACGGGAACATCAACTCCGGTAGCTTCAGCTTCGGAAACTTCAATCGCGGGAGAAGGGAAGTCCAATGGTTGTTGAGATTTTTCAATAGTCTCCATCACCTTAGCTAACTCTGACTCCAGATTAAAGTTTTCTTGGCTGACTTCAACTAAGGCATCACGACGGGAGTTCAGAAAAGCCCAGCTTACATCAACTGCAGCCTTATCTTCAAGAAGCTCATAATCACTTTCCCAAGCAGCAATTTCATTTTTGAGACCCTCATTTTCATTCAGAGCTGAGTTATAAGAGGCTTGGAGAGAGGCATGAGATTTTTCTAAGGCCTTCACCTGGTCTTCAGAAGTTCGCAGATTTTCTTGGGTTTGAGTCAAATTCTGCATCAAATCTCCAGCATAAACTTCTTTTTGACTTAAAAGAGCTCTCAGCTCTCTNCATTAATATTAGTAACTTAAATAATGCTAACAAAAGTCCAAACCAAAATCAAATCAATATTAATGCTAACAAAAGACATTCAATTCAATACTAGGAACGAAAATGTATTGAATATCTATTTTTTATTTTGCAATGATTTAGATAAAAATGCATAACCTATTTTTATTTTTCTTTAGCGTTTAGTCATGTAATTAATATTCCCTTATTAGTCTACTTATTTTAGCATGACTTAGTACTTTTAGATTATGTTTAGTTTTATTATGGCTTTTTAATTAGCAATAGTACATAATTTTATTGTCTTTATTGTTGAATATTTTAGGATAATGCCATGACACATCTTATATTTTGTATTATTTTCTTGTAAAATACTTTTGTATCTTACTAGGATTAAAGAAATATTTTGAGCACAAGTTATATGTTTTGTGCTACGAAGATTTTACCGGAAAAAAAAACCCGAAAACCCGAGAAAAACCGAAATTGAAAAACCCGAATTTTATTGTTTGGTTTGGTCTTCAAATTAAATAATCAGACACAATTGGTTTGGTTTGGTAATTGCAAAACCCGAACCAACCCGACCTATGTACACCCCTATTTTTTGTAAATACAACTGTATACGGTCAAAATCGGGATACCCTTTTTTGTTTGACTGACCAAGGCTGGAACGTGGTAGATCAAGTTCGGACCTCGCTTTTATACGGCGCGGGTTTAAGTTATCGAGACCGTGGGACCGATTAAGCTCGAGCTCGACCAAGATCGAGACCAAGTAAGATGGAGATCGAAGCTAAGTCGAGTAACAGAAAACCGAGATATCCGAGATCGACCAAGGATCGTGGCTAAAATCTCAGCACGAATCAAGTCAAGACCGGTTGTTCAGCCAATCATGGGATTTCCTTCTATATTTAGAGTTATACCATAATTTGAGTTCCTCTACTATATAAAGAGGAGTCCCCATCATTTGTAAACACCTTACATTCACACAGATAAAGGCAATATAATATTTCTCTCTTTCTCTAGCCCGGAATCGAATTCCGAGGTCCCAAGCCCGAGAAATAAATTTTTAAAGAAAATTATTTTTTGAATAGTTTATAAGGTTTGGAAATAAATTTGGATTAGAAAATGTTGGTATCGGGCCCGTATTTTGGTTCCGGCGCCCGGTACAGGTCTTATATATGATTAAAGATAATTCTGTGAAGTTTGGTGAGAAACGGAATCCGTTTGACGTGATTCGGATCTTAAATGCAAATTTGATGCTTAAAGAAGTTTTGAGAAATTTCATTGATCTTGAGGTTTAATTCGATGTTCATAATGTTATTTTGGTGATTTGAGTGCTCTAATAAGTCCGTAGGATGTTTTTGAGGTTGTGTGCATGTTTGGTTTGGAGCCTTGAGGGCTCGGGTGAGTTTTGGATAGCCCTGAGGTTGTGTGCATGTTTGGTTTGGAGACCTGTAGGCTTCGCATTTGCGAAGCCTGGCTCGCAAATGCGAACCAGCCCAGGTCTACCTTATCTCGCAAATGCGAGTGATATTTCACAATTCCGGCCTCGCAAATGCGAGGATCCCTTCGCAAATGAGAAGCTCATCAGCTTGGCTAGTGATCGCAAATGCGACTAATTTGTCGCAAATGCGACCTTCTTTTCGCAATTGCGAAGGTGCATTTCCCATAACAGTAGAGGTCGGGGTTCGCAATTGCGAACCCCAGTTCGCAATTCCCACATCTGAGACCTGCAACTTTTATACTTAGCCGAATTTTTAACCCATTTTCATATCCTCTCAAAACACAAACACACTTAGGCGATTTTTCAAGGATTTCTTCTTCTCCAAATCAATTGTAAGTCGTTTTTAACTAACTTCCTTCAATTCTTAACATGATTTTAACTTCAAATCAATGATTTTCATGGGGGAAATTGGGTGTTTTGGGTAGAACCTAGGTTTTTCAAAAATTGGGGATTTGGACCTCGATTTGAGGTCTGATTTCAAAACAAATTATCTATTTGAGTTCGTGGGGAAATGGGTGATCGGGTTTTGGTTCGAACCTCGGGTTTTGACCATGTGGGCCCGGGGGCGATTTTTGACTTTTTGGGTAAAACTTTGGAAAACTTATTTTTATGCATTGGGGTTGATTCATTTAGCGTTTATTGATGTAATTAAGTAACTTGTGGCTAGATACGAGCGAATTGGTGGTGGAATCAAGGGGTAAAGCTATAGTTGAATCGTGAATTGTGTTCGTGGCATCGAGGTAAGTGTTTGGTCTAACCTTAGCTTGAGGGATTAGGAGTTGTGTCTATTTGCTACGTGTTAATTGTGGAGTACGACGTATAGGCATGGTGACGAGTATCTATACGTCAGTGTCAAGCATGCACGTGAGTCTTGTGTTATAAATTGTTATGACCCCTGTATTGGGGAAAATTATATTTATGTATATGGTGACGTGTCATGACGTATAGACTGGTCAAACAGTCAAAGAAATAAGATTGGTTAACAGATACGAGCAACAACATATACGAGCGACAACAGATACGAGCAACAAACAGATACAAGCAACAACAAATATGAATATATTAAATGGAGCGGGTGCGAGCAGTCATACAAGTAATTCAACGCTCATACCTATTCAAGACATTTGAAACTCAAAGATAGTGAAGAATCAAAGGAATGAATCTAACAACAAAAAGGAGCCCGGATACAGCATTTAATGAGTATTAATTATTGGAAACGTTAGAGAATATGTATTTAATGTATATGATTGCATAACGTAATATTTAAAGTCATTAATTGCCCATAATAGCATTATTATGACAAAGGTAAGGCTCGTATCCCAAAAGAGCTATAAAAAGGGAAGAAACAAACAATTGTAGGGAGAGGTGACTATTGGAATATACTTTGATTTACCAGCTTTCATACTTGGTTACTCTAAAATTTCTTTCTTTATTTAATTTTTCGATTATCAGTAACCCGATTCTTCTAAATTCTAGTTTTGACTAAAATTCTATTTTCTTGGTTAAACAAATTGGTTCCGTTGCCGGGAATCTGATAATCAAGGATATCTCAACCTAATTTTCTTGATTGCATCAATCATGTCAAACAACAATGACAACACTTAAGGAAACCCAGAAAGTCAAACAATCCAACAACTTCAGGGAGATTCTCCACGAGGCTCTCCACAAGGTTCTCCACGAGGCTCCCCGCGATGGTCTCGTGAAGGCACTCCTGATGGATCTCACACAGATGGACAGGCTCAATTCGAAAATGTTGAAACCATGAATGAGGCTCTGCAAAAACTTATTGCCTCTCAAGTCAATAAAGCTCTTCAAGCTTTTGTTAGCCAATTACCTGCTATTCCACCCACATCTACTCCAAACAACAACACTTTGGAGAATCCTCGTTCAGGATTGGTTAATTCAGGCAGCCGTGGAACCCCTAGTGAAACACAAGAGAGAGACCCAGGTAATCCAGTTAACTCTGATTTACAGAATCTAGTACTAACCTTGCAGAAATAGCTTAAGGAGCAAAATGAACGCATAGAGCAAATACCTGGAGTACCGCCCGTGATCAAGGGAGTAGATATAGATAAATATTCCCAACAACCATGGAAGCCAAGTGCTGCTCCCCTCCCAATTCCAAAGAAGTTTAAGATGCCTGATATTCCAAAGTATAATGGTACATCAGATCCACGAGATCACGTTACTGCATTCACAACAAGTGTCAAGGGCAATGATTTGACTAAGCAAGAGATTGAGTCGGTCTTGGTCAAAAAATTCGGTGAAACACTCACTAAAGGGGCCTTAACATGGTATTCTCTCTTACCTGAAAATTCTATAAATTCGTTTGCTGAGCTTGCAGATTTATTTATCAAAGCACACTCGGGAGCTCAAAAAGTTGAAAAGCGAATGGAAGATATCTTCAAAATCAAACAAGGAGACTCAGAGTTGCTTAGAGAGTTCGTAGATAGATTTCAACGGGAAATAATGACGCTGCCACGAGTACCTGACAATTGGGCAGCCATAGCCTTTGCTAGTAATTTGAATGAGAAGAGTTCAGAAGCCACGAGGCGACTCAAAGAAAGCCTTCGAGAATTCCCAGCAACAACGTGGAATGATGTCTACAACAGATACAGTACAAAGATGAGGATTGAAGAAGACATTATTTTACGACATAAAACAGAAGAAAAGGTAAGCTCAAGGCGTGTGGAAAATGAAAAGAGATCCGGTAAAAACAGGTACGAGCCATACATGGGACCTGCGGGGAAAGACTCACGATCAAGACAAGATAATCAAAGGTACGATCACAAACCTAGAAACAAGGAGTCAGGCTCCTCATCGAGGTTCGGGAATGATCAAAACACATGCGGGTCACGAGACGATGATGGGAGTTTAAAGGCAAGGTTCGGTGGTTACAACTTCAATGTAAGCACATCTGAACTCGTATCTGTTTTAAGAGGCATGGGAGATAAGGTACGGTGGCCAAAAGAAATGCGATCGAATCCAAACAGACGAAATCCTGATCATTGGTGTGAATTTCATAACGATCACGGGCATAAAACATCAGATTGCAGGTTTCTGCAAGGTGAAGTTGATCATTTGCTTAAACAGGGGTATCTCACTGAGTTATTCAGTGAAAAAGGTAAACAAGCATACATGAAGAACAGGCAGGAGCCTCCAAAACCACCTTCA